CTCCCCCGCCCGATTACGGAGCGACAATGTCTAGGAATCACTACGGATCGCGCCTGCCCTAATTCGTCCACGTCGGAGCCACGGAGGCTGCCGCGGAACCCAGGCGCAACACCAATGCGGATCGCGTCGGCACGGATTCGTCCACGACGGATCCACGTAACCCACCGCGGAAACCAGCGCAAGCCCGAAAAACCATGAGATGAACACGTGGTGACTTGCCAACGGAAGCTCGGTCGCGGGAACAATTTCGCGCGTTTCGAAGGGCCCACATCGGAAAGAACCTAGGCGTGACAAACCGTGGAAACCTGGATGCGTGCCATCTGTCTCCCTGGCGCGCAATGATCCTCGGACTTGCTGGAAACTCGACACCTGGCGACTGTGGCCACAGGCGCGCTCTGAAATCCGTGGACACCTAATATCTCGCCACCTCTCGAACGTCGCCATGCGCGTGTTCCCTTCTGCGAACATCACGAGCCCTTGCGAGAACCCAGCGACATCACAAGTGCACATGTAACTATTTCTTTTTCCGTTGCACACCTCATCTTCGTGCGCTTCTCATGCAGAGCTTTGGTCCTTGCGCGAAACGTACATCCACCCGTGTAATAGGCAAGACGGCGGCGGACAACTATCATGCAGCGCGTGTCGGCTGCAAACGGCGCAATCACCTGGTTTCGCGCCATGCATGTTGCTCTTTACCACGTGAAAAATGGACCCACGCTACATGCAGGCCATTGCCTCATTCTTGTCGGTCAGCCCGAAAACAAAAGCCATGGACACGCAACCGGCCCAGGGTTTGCCAAGCACACGCGGTGGGGGGTATACCAGCGTAAACGTCATTCTGTTGGCTCATTTAGAGTTTCTCATTTTCTATTCTACTTCTGCGATTCACGACCAGGCTTCCTGCACTTAGACTATTAAGCTACCCTACCTCTCGTACTTAGTCGTTTCAGCATCATGGCGCGTGCTTCCGCACTTAAACGATTTATCGACAGCCCACTCCCTCAGATTTGCGCTGGCGTTGCTTTCGTGTCAAATGCCCTCCGCGAAAATGAACAGCTCACGAAGTGTACGAACGCCACGGGCCAACGCACGAATACCAATCCGAGTTTCGTTCCCATCTTGCAGCAGCTGCTTTTCGGTGGTAATCAGGTAGGTACGGGCGCGAATGGAGTCACCAGTATTTTCGAGCACGTCGCTGCAGCCGCTTTACATAGATCACGTGTCTCGCAACACCACGCGGGGTACCAGTGGGGAATGCCATTAGGGTTACGACGACTCAACGACCCAGTGTTTAGGACTCCCAATTGGGCACCAAATCCTCCACCTCAAACTTTCGCGTTCGCAAACAACCCCGTCCCACCAATACCACCGCAAAATGTCCCCCTTCAACCCAGTTTCGTACCCCTGCAAACGACTCGAGCTGGAGTTTTTCGCGGACCCCTGTTTAGCGTACCAGTTTCGATTGCGCGCGAAGCAGCCCAGCCACCATCTCAGACACGACCTGCGAACACGAATGCTGGGGTACCACCTTACCAACGGCCCGCGAACACGAATGTAGGGGGGCCATCTCTTCCACGGCCTGCGAACACGAATGCTGTGCCATCACCCCAGGCACGACCCGCGAACACGGATGCTGGGCCACCATCGGGTTCAGCAGCCCCAGAAGCTGCAGCCACGGGCGTAGATGAACCCGTGGCTGAGGACGAACCCCAAGAATTCCCCAATCTCGAAGTACCTGTCGATGAGGCTACAGAGCAAGAAGCGGCTGAAGTGCGTCGGACAATCGACGATGATGACGAATTGGCCAGGGAGGAGGCCGGTCCAACCCTATCCCCGGCTGCGCAAAGAAGAATAGGCGCCACGATTGCGAACTGGCACGCCCTACCGGCTGGGTCCGAAATGAAGGACATGAAGGACAGAATCGCGTTCGTGCGCCAGATTCTCGGGCTTCTAGAAGAGTCGAAGCGAAAACAGTATTATTCGTGGATTTCGGAATTCAAGCGTTGGTGGTACAACGAGGTCGCGTCCCTCCCGCCAGGAAACTATCCACCAGACGCGAAAATGGAACACGACGATGAAGTGGGTGTGCTGGTCGGGATGGACAGAGGAGACCGTTGGCAATTGGCGCCAAAAGAGGACTGCTGGCTCCACGGTCCTCGAATCACACCTTGGCGTTTGAAGATGTTCATCACCTACTGCACGACTGAAAACAAGGAGAAGGCAGAACTGCTCGCGAGCCTCAACCCGTCGACGCCCGTTCGGAAACGGGTCGCTTGCACTGTCTCAATGGTGATGGGACGTTTTCGCGCTTTGAAGACCCAATGCCGTGCCGAGAGTGTGCTCTTCGAGTGTGAAGACCTTGCCGCAAACGTCGAGCGAGTCCGCGTTCTTGTCGGACTAATGCTTCGAAACCAGTTCAAGCGCTTCAAGGCGTGAGTATTGACACACTAAGTCAACCGTTGTTCGTGTTCGTGCGTGTACCATTCGCGCCATTTCATTAACGCGGAAACAACCTGCTTGTTCGTGTTGGTGCGCAGGGATTACATCGACCGCCATCGTGGAACGAACGCGGACGTCTATACACTGGACCAGTTTAAGCTCATGATGCAGAAAACGTGGCCCGAAGAGGCCGTCAAGTGTTTCGTGCCATTCGCGAGAGAACCCTCGAACGTGCTCCACCGAGCACTAACCGCAAAGGCGATGTTGCTTCTGAGCCATCACACCCTTGCACGCGCAGGGACCATTCGTGGAATCCAGCTCCCAGACCTCATCTTTGGCAGAATGGGGAGTCTTACGGACTTGGATCCGGTAGGGGAAGCGGTTCTTCTAACGGTTGCGACGCGGAGCGGGAAAACGAACAAGAATTTCGGGCTACACAAGTAAGTCGCGGCAAGAAACATCGACTTCATGTGCTGCCCGGTCGGCGAAGTTTTCAAGCTTCTGCATTGGTACACGGACCAAGTACCCTTGTATTACAGGGGCGGTCGTAACTTGATCCCGCCGCTCGATTTTAGCGAGCCAAACAAGTGGTACGACACGTACCTTTTTTGGCCGCACAGCAAAGGCTACAAGGCCGAGGTTCCCCACGCGACGTACGCAGACTGGGTTATCTACGGCTACGGCGAGACGAAGGTCACGATAGGCAAGGTCACGCATGCACCGCGTGCCAGCAATGCACACATCCTGTCCATGGCTGGTGTCACGGACAAAGAGATCGCCAGGGCAGGCAACTGGACCACAGACGCTCTGACGATGCACTATTTGCCAGGGGTTGCGCGAATCACGGTGCTTGCATCTGCAGGCTATTCGGGCGAGGCTGGTGATTATCACGTCGGCCGTTCGAAGGTCAAACCGTGGAGACATGTGCAGGATCTCATCAACGAGCACATTTTTCCGTGGGTCGAACTGCAACTGTGCCTGGTAAGTTTCCAGTGGGCGCGAAATATTTGACAGTCGCGTATACCAGCTAGGTTTCCGTGTGACATTGGTGTGTGGTCCACTTTTGAATGCTTTCGAATCCGCGCTAATTCGTGCAGGCGAAAGCGTACAACGACGGGCAGGAGCGAGGCAACAAGGACACGGCGGCCATTCATTTTCTGGAGGCATTGAGGGAATTTGGCCGACGTATAGTTGCCGAAGATCTTGCGATGCTGTTTGTGCACATGCCTGATCATCCGTACATCCAAGTGTCACCACTGTTCAAAGACCCACAATTCAGGATGTGGGCCAGGTTGGTGGCCTGGAGGGACGCGGTTGGCATCGCGCTGAGAAGCACTCCAACCAAGCTGTCAGAACAGGTAAGAACTTCTCCGGTTCAATGCACGAAAATAGCACAGCAAACAGTCTTTCGCGAACCATTCTAACGAGTTTCAACGTGCTGCAGGATGTCTCACTCCGGGTCCACGCGCAACATTTATGCGTGGAACTCAAAGCCGAGCTTGCGATGGAGAAAGAGGGGCGTGCCAAGGATATTCAGGAGAAAAAGGTGGCTCAACACGAAGCTGCGGCGCTGCGGAAGACGGTGGAAGAGCAACAAGCCACGATCGAGGAGTTGCGTGGCCAGTTGGCTGGACTTTCCACGGAGAGCGTCCGCACGGACAAGCAGCACGTCCGCACGAAAGATCAGCCCGTCCGCACGGACAATGCGCAGGCACCGCGAATTCTTGAACCTGCGAAAAAAGAGTTCATGGACCAGGCGCTCGATCCGTGGGTCAATTCGGAAACGGTCCCTGAAATGTGGCAGTTGTTCAACACGCGGGTTGGGAACACTGGAATGTCCCTGCGCGAAGAAACTGCACGCGCAGGCTTCGGAGCGAAGTTCATGCTGCCACAGAACGAGCGAACTGCGGTTTCCCGGGCGAAAAGGGTGATGCAAGCCGTGTGTGATTACGCGCGAAGGCCTGGAATCGCGGGCATTGACGGAGCCGTGCAGAAGCTGGAGCGTGTCAGAGGTCGGATTGGCATGTCGTCGTTGCGTGATGGGCTCACAGTCACGTCGGCAAAGCCAAATGCCGGCGACTTTTCCGACCTGCGTCGCAACACGACCGTCTGCGCGAACGTGAAAGTGGCTATCGCGCTTGTCCGAGAGGAATTGGAAACCGAGGACTGGGCACGAACCAAGTATTCCAAGAGTTGGGACGCATGGGTGGAATTCGTTGAGCCAAAGAGGAAACGTTCGCGTGTTGAGTGAAATGTCTTCGTGCATGCAATATTGATCAGTAAAACTCTCCCGTCGTAAGCATGTTACTTTTCGAGGATCTAACATTCTCTGTTACCTAATTGTGTATTACGTTGTTTAGGCATCTGGTGGTTTTCATTCCAAACAGGTTGTCACGAATCCTAAACAGCCATTCGGAAAATGTTAACACGAATCCTAAAGGAGCAAAGATCGCAGGGTTGTCACAAAAACACGAAAACAAGACCACCAACAACGAAGTTAAAACAGCAAGGGTGGAAACTAGCCATCAACCACGAAAACGAGCACAGCAATGTTGAAAACTTTAGTCATCCTGTAACTCGACAACTTCTTCCCCGCCCTCTTCACGCGCAGGAGCAGGTGATGCCCGTTTCGGGCGTGGACGAACTGATTCCCGGTTCTTCGCCTTCACGCGCTCCGTGCTGCACAGCACACACAACCCCAGCTGTGTCATCTGAGCCTTCGCCCCCGGCTCGTGGTTCCAGGTAGCGACGACGTCGACCATTTCGGAAATTATCGTCTTGAGGTTCGCATCCGGGCCCTCCGTGAAAGAGTTGTTCACCAGCTGCTCCATGTCTTCGCCTGTTGGAGGGGTGGTGGTGGTCTTCGCGCGTGTCTTAAGTGCGGCCAACATGCGCTCCCACACCAGTTCGCATCCCGCCACGTTGACTTGGGTCGCCCCAGCCAGCTTCGCCGCAGCCTTCCCCTCCTTCACGGCCTGTGCTGAGTCCACACCAGCCGGACCTTTGCACCACGTCCACACGGCTGCACAGGCGAATGCCACGGCTCCGGCGATCGGCCCACCAACACCTTTCACGCGTCCTGACGGCTCATCCTCCGCGACCTCCAATCCAGACGCGGCAGAGCACGCGGTCTCGTCCACAGGAGCTCGCGCACCATCCTTAAGTGCGCGAAACCGGTTGAACAAGCTCCGCATCCTGTAATAAAAAAAATCGGATTCGCGTAAATTGCACGTTTTCGCTACCGTTACACAAACGCGTACGAAGTTGGTTCACACACCTTTTCGCGCTGTTGGTAAGACCGCGAAGATACAGGGTTGCGAACAGACCCTCGTGCATCACACGAGCCACGTCCAGATCCGGGGTCCATTCCGCCTCTTCGTCGGGAGTCAACACCATCTTGTCCGGTTTTACGGTTTTATACCACACCGTAAGCGCGACAGCACACAGAAACCGTCCCGCATCCTTCTGTTCGTGATTCCCAAGATAGGGACGGACACCAGCGTGATGCAGCTCAAGAATCCATGCCGTGCCATTTGCATTCGCGCGAAGACCAACACACAAATCGCTTTTCGCGGCCCTCTGCTTCTCCTTGCCTTTTTTGGTTCCGCCTTTTTCAGCTTCCAGCAGCGCCATGTATTTTTCGAACGCATCATTTCCTCCTTCATCGTCCAGAACCGCGTCTCCTTTCGTGGTCGCGTCTTCGTTTCCTCCCCCGACACCTTTCGCGGTCACGTCCCCTTTCGCAGCCACGTTCCCTTTTGCAGCCGCGTCCCGTTTCGCAGCCGCGGTCCCTTTCGCGGTCACGTCCGGCTGCGCCACATTCTCACCTCCCGAAACGTGTAGGGGTGAAGACGCGCGAACCATTGCAGAAGGAAGACCTGCGACAGCGAACGGCACAGCGTCTGATGGTGGTAGCTTCTGCTTCTTCGTCATGGGAGGGGAGGGGGGCGGGTTCGAAAGCGCGGGTGCGAAACTTGGTCCGCCCGCGAAACCAGGTCCGGTTGCGAAATTTGGTCCGCCAGCGAAACTGGGTCCAGCTGCGAAACTGGGTCCGGCTGCGAAACTGGGTCCGGCTGCGAAACTCGGTCGATGCTCAGCCGGATGACGGGCGCCACCATAAAGTGCTAGCGCAGCAAGAGCTCCGCGCTCGGCTGCGGCTGTCACGACTGACTCGATCCCCACGAATTTCGCCCACGCCTCCTGCCGCGTCTTTTCAGTCACCTCCGCGATTGCAGAGGCGAAGAACTCCCTCAGGCCGGACACGGTTTCCTCCAGGCGGCGAATCGCTCTCTCATTGGACTCTCGCTGCGCGGACGCGGAGGCATGCTCCTTCCTCAACTCCTTCACGCATTCCGCAATCTCGTTGCCATAACGCTGCTCCATGTCATCCAGCCCCTTTCCAGATTGCATCGACTTCGACCACAGGGATTTCATCTTGTCTATGAGTTCGTCGAGTGAATCGGACAGCTCACGAACGCGCTTTCGCTGGTTCGAGACGTGCGTGTTCGCCCATTTCAGCTGTTTGCGCGTGTCTCCAATCGCGGCATCGAGTCGAAGCACCTCCCGCGCAAGCGAGTCGACCGGCCACGCCACCAGATCGTCGAACGAACGAGGAGCCTCTACCGGAGTTGGAGTTGCAACGCGGGAAGGGCCGGGGACAGCGGGAGCAGGTTCCGCCACCTTTTCCGCCCCTTCACCACCACCCGAAGCGGCCTCAGCCCCCACGACAGGACCACCGCCGACTGGTCCAGCGACGACATTATCCGCGGCGGCCGCGGCATCCCTTCCGCTCCCGCCACCCTCTCGCTCGCTTCCCTCCACGCGAGCCCTCCCATGAGATCCGTGTTCGGAGCCCGGAACGTTACCACGGCCTTTGCCAGATTCGAGACCACGCAACTCAAGCGCGAGATCCTGGGCGTGCTTCAGCACTTTCTCGCGTATGAACTTCAGGTTCTTCGGTTTCGTGGCCCTAATCGGAGCCTTCGGGTCTGCCGTCACAACCGCGAATTCACAAAGTACGCGATAAAATCCGTACACTGCGTGAACACCGGTCACTCCTTTCATGTCCTCGATGGAAGACAGATCCTGCGAACGGAAACAACACGGATCAGTATGGCAGGCGATTTTTACGATAATCCGCCTCATTGAAAAAACAACCACGTACCATCGGCACTCGGGCCAAAGCTTTGAAGCGTGGCTCGGCGACTTCGGAAAACTTAGCGGGTCCGAAAGCTTGAGCCATCCCGTGCAGGTAAACTCCAAACCAACTGTCAACGCGAAAAACGCGAGTCATTAGAGCTCCGAAACACACAGCGGAAGTAATGCGGAAACAAGAGTCGCGCTCACTCAATAGCGATCTTTGCGTCCTTTGCGTGCGGATCTGGACCCACGGAAGGGTCAATGTGAAGAATTCGCGTGCGACAAACTTCACCATCCGGGCGTTCGAGATCGCCCGGATGCAAAATGAGCAGGATGCTGCACTTCGGTTCCTCCTCGTCGAGTCTGAAAAGCAAACACAATCAACGGCCGCTTTACTCAGTGCATCGTTGTACCACCCGAAAACGTTACGCGAAAACCATTCGTGACTTACTTGGACCAAAACGGGAAAACAAGCATCTCGTTCTGCATCATGTCCACTTCAACCGTCGAAGTCTCAAGCGCCTTGCGCAATTCGGCGGCCGGGAAAATTCGCGACTTCCGCGTGCGGCCCCCCCCATGTTTTTCGAGTATGGAGCTGAAGAGGGAACGTTAGGACAAGGAGACGAGATTCTCGTAACAAATACAGCCATCTTAGTACCGCGAAACGCGAAAATGACATCACGACACACATACATGCACGCGAAATCGAGGCAGGGGTTCGTGAACTCGGTGTCGTCATCCAGGAGGGACTTCTTGTCCTCAGCCTGCAGCGTCGCGTACGTGCCCCCGCCCTCAATCGTGACGTCAAACATTTGGAGGGACTCCATCGGGTCCAGCAGGTCACGTAGTTCACGGGTCATCCTGGACATTCGAAGTCCACGCACAGGCTACATGAGCAAACACGAACGTCAGTGCAGGCGGAAACACAGTAAGAAAAACACGCGTGATCGTGCACGAAACGTATTCGAGCGGGCGAGTACACAGCAAGACAATCTTGGCGTGATCGTGTCCGGAAGTTATTCGTGCAGACGAAAACACATCTGGAAAAAACACGCGCGATCGTGCACGAAAAGTATTCGTGCGCGAGTGCGCAAAACCACCACGAATTCCCACCGCAAACAAATCCCACCGCAAACCCACCTGACACAACCCTAAAGTGACATACAACCCCAGGCTCACCTCCCACAAGTCCCCCAGGCTCACCTCCCACAAGTCGATCTGGGCGCTGAAGCGATGGAAGGTTGAGAGCAGCAACAACAAGAAACCAAAATGAAAAAGCAAAAATGAGAGTCTAGCACCCCCCTTCGACCTATTTAGGCCCACGGCCCATTCCAGACCACCGCCCGAACCAGCCTCCGTGCTTGCTTCGGAACGACGAATGAGCAGTGGTGAGCCGTCGCCGTCCCTCGCACCCATGCATTTCACCCACGTGCGCGAAGGCCACTGGCTCGGTTGAGAGTTCTTCGCTGACCGAGCCAGGCCCGCTCGAATGTTGGCGGGGGGCGGCTCAATTTTTTCATACCCGGTTGTACTGAACCCGTTTACGCCTATCGCCTGCTTTTTTGCGTGTTGTTTTTCAATACGAGAAGAGGTTTCCGCGAGCACCAACATTGGTTGCGCGGGTAACCCGACGTGGTTCGCGCGATCGAGCCCTGGTTCCGAGCCTGCTCAGAGGCGAGTCCAGTGGTCCCCACCTCGCCGCATCAGCGTGGCCCGGCTGCGTCAGAGTGGCCCGGGCTGCGTCAGAGTGGCCCGGGCTGGCGTGGGGCCGTCGGGCGTCCCCGGCTCGGGGCCAAGGGTCGGCCGCCCAATCCCGTCGCAGGGGTGGGCGGCCGAGTGCCCAGGCGTGGGTTCGTCGCTTTCCTGGCGTGCCCCGCGTGAGGACACCGTAACCCTCGCCCCATTACGGGGCCCGGGTTACGGAGGCCCGAGCGGGATTACGGACCGTTTTTCCTCTAGGCGCATTCATGCTGGTTGCATTGCGCGGATGTTGCTGCCCCGCATAACTTGTGCGGAGGCTGATGCTAGCTCCCCTTCCTCTGCTGGTTGGGATAAACTTATGCGGACATTTGTCTGGTGAGGAAGCGTGCAGGAAGCCTGGTGAGGTTGACGTTGTGCGAACCAACAAGTGGTGTTCTGTTGGCACTCGCGTTTATTGTTATGCGGTCAGGCTCGGAAAGATTCGGCATATCCCGAACCTTGATAAAACAATTTCTGCTTATCTCAGAAGATTCCGCGCTATTTGATTCTGTTGTTTTAGACATCAGGTTTCCCGACCCCAGCACGCTGCAAGCGGAGATGCAGGCGGTGGCGGTGCAGCGAAGGCGGAGATGCTTGGCGGTGGTGATGCAGCGAAGAATACAGATAGAGGTGTGGTGTGGTGGTTGATAGGTGCGAAGGTTTGGGCGTGGTGGTTGATAGGTGTGCGAAGGTTTGGGCGTGGTGGTTGATAGGTGCGAAGGTTTGGGCGTAAATGATTTCGTTCGTTTGCTCGAATCCGCGAACAACCCATCGGGCTTTGAACTTGTAGGTCTACCCGTCGGCATGGCAAACCTAGCCCTGGAATTCAAGGGCCACCAGGGCAAACGCCCTGCTGCTAGCGACAGGCCTGGGCACTGAAGTCAAGCACCCCCAAACTTCAGTGCAGCAAATCCCTGCCATCAGTCCTTCAAATATCATTGTACACCCTCTCTCGCGCCAGACTGACAATGGGATGCACTGGCTACAGTGCGTACTGTTGCTTGGACCGTAGCGATCTGGTGCTTGGAACCGAACCCGAGCTAGGTGGCAGGATTTCTGCTAGCTCGGACGATCCGGGCCCCTGTAAAAAAAACCCTGTAAAATCCGAGCCAGCGAAAAATCCGACCACGACAAAACCTGGATAAGTGCTAGGGAGGCTGGAGATGAAGGAGCGGCTCTAGAGGTGTGGGAGAGAGACTTACGGGCTGGTCCAAGAAGCACCTGATGACAATCAGGGTTCCTCTAACACCTTGTAATTTCAGTCAAAGCAGGGTTATTGCCCTGATAACAAAAGCCCTGCTCCGGAGGAACGGTACACAATGTTATGTGGAAGAAAGCTTGCTTTTGCGTACGGTTAAGTGCGGCAAGTGTGCATATATGGTATGTGCTGGGACCAGGCCTGTCGAAGTTCTTGGGGCCCATACTTGGGAGTCCCCAGCTCCTCCCTATCTGACCCTGTTTTGGCCGTAGCTGAGTGTTTTGGCGCCCTTAACGGTCACGGGCGCAGGCCAAAGTGAAAACTTGATATCCGGGCTTGCACTTACACTATCTTAGCTAAGGGAAAGTTCGGCTGCTCCAAAGCTGACTTAGAGATATCACAAACACGGGAAAAATGTTAAGGGAAAAAACCCCTTGGCGTGCTCTCGTGCAACCTAAGGAGAAAGGGGGGGGGAGTGGGGGGGTCAGGCAGAATTTATTGGGGGGGGGATCCTAGAACCGGAAATCAAAACTTTGTGGGTGGGGAAGGCCTGGTTGGAGCACTTAACGCATCCGGGGAAGGGTCGAACGAAGCACTTAGTGGCACGGGTGCAGGGCGATCCTAACACTTTATGCAGTCGAGCTGGAGCAAAAGTAGCCCGGAATTTCAGGGCATTAAGGGCATATGCCCGTCAATCGACAGGCCTGGCTGGGACCATTCTGGAGGCATTGAGGTCAGTACAGCCGGGCTGTCAGTATGGCCAATGTCAGTCTGGCGCGAGAGAGGGTGTACACGTCGGTTCTGACACACGTAGGACAGCAACGTGGTCGAATCGAAACACTTCACGCGCACGACGCTTCCCGCCAAGGGCGAACCGCCACTGGAACCACTCCCAGTGAACCAAACCGAAACATCCAACCACGTCCCAGCCCCAATGTTCTGCTTGCGGTTCGGCTCCAACGTGTCAGAGGGGGAAATTGAAAGGTTTCGAGGAAAACTGTGAATTGGCGTGGTATAAGGGATTTGGCTTTGGGTGGAGTTTCAAACCAGGAATTCTGTATGCGGCGCAATCAGGTTTTCGGCGTTGTGAAACGGTCAATACCAATTTACGGTCGGCTAATCGAAACTTCAGAGTGGTCGGATGGGTTTGAGCAAATTCGAACAAACCAAAAAAACAGTTGGCGATAAACATCCAGATTACCGCGGCTTGCTTCCATCGAAGAGCTTCAATCTTAGCCGTTCCGCCACTATCAATTGTCTTCTTCAGCCGTTTCTAGCACGCATCACTTTTGAAACATACTCCAGGAGCTCACTGTAGCCCGTTCTTAACTCCCAACTTAATCGGTCAGCGACGCATCCTCTATTCCGCCCTAACTCCATGTTCTTGGCCGCTCGAAACTGACTTCGAATCATTTACTTCCGCAACTTTATAACTGGTCCGTACTTTGCCGTCGCCACGTCACCATGAAGCAACAATCGCATACTGTGACGTACCTCGCGCTCCTCGTTGTCGCATCGAGCCTCGTCAGCTACGCCGCGGCGCAATGCGGAGTCGTTTGCACCGTTCCCGGCACCAATCTCATCAACAATGACTGCCTTGTCCAGTGCAACGTAAGAAATAACGTCTTCGTCTTTTTCATAGTTTCGAGTCAGCCCCTTAAATTGTGATTCGGCTCAAACATCGGTTTCCGGCACCACGCGGCGTTAACTCCGACCGCATTCCCCAGTGCAGCGTAAGAAAGCATTTCCGTCTCTCTCGTCCTCTTCATAAGTCGACCTCATATAGTAGTTCGGCTCAAACATCGGTTCCCGGCACCGCGCTCGTTAACTCCGACTGCGCTCTCCAGCGCAACGTAAGAAATCCTTTCGTCCCTCCCGACCTCGTTATGAGCCGGCTCATAACTCGTTCCTGGCGACACCACGCTCGTTAACTCCGACTGCGTAGCAGCGCAACGTTAAGAAGCTCTCTTCGTCCCTCCCGCTTGCCTCCCCCAAAGAACTGCGCGTACCCACGCCTTACGGATGTGCCATTTCGCTCCTTTTCTCTCTCCGTTTCCCCTCGCCCCCGCCGCTTCCCCATTCTCTCCTCTCCCCCCTCCCTCCGCCCCCACAGAACTGCGGGTACGCGACACGCTACGGATGTGCAACCTAGCTTCCTCCCCCTCACTCTTCGCCTCGCCCCCGCCCGTTCCCTCCTCTCTCCCTCTCCCCCTCCCCCCTCCCCCCTCCCCTCACAGAACTGCGGGTACGCGACACGCTACGGATGTGCCAGCTAGCCACATTCTAATTTCTCCAATCTTTTAGCCTCTCCCCGCTTCCCTTCCGCCCCCCCCCCCTCACAGAACTGCGCGTACGCGACCCGCTACGGATATGCCACCTAGCCACATTCTAATTTCTCCAATCTTTTCGCCTCTCCCCCGCCTCCCTTCCGCCTCCTTTCCGCCTCCCTTCCGCCTCCCGCCCGCTTCCCTTCCCTCCCCCCCTCCCCCCTCCCCTCACAGAATTGCGCGTACGCAACACCCTACGGGTGTGCCACCTACTTCCAGCCCTTTTGGAACTCCGGTGGTGAGTGACTCCGTGGGTTGAGTATAAGAAGTAACGACGGGTAACGAGTATGGCGTGCCGGTGATTATGATATCGTACGACTCGTTAAACTCGGAATATCGCACGGAGTGGTAAGTATAACACGTGAAGGACGAGTATTGCGTGCAGCAGTAACGAGAATATGACTATAAAGAGGGAATACGGTATTGTATGCGGTTGAGTGTAACAAGAATCGGACGATAGCGTGAGTAGTAACTCCCAGTCGCCCCAATCCCCCCACTCTCCCCTCTCGCCGCAATATCCCCAGTCGCCGTAATTTCCCCGCGCTCCGCACACGCCCCAATCTCCACGCTCTCCCTACACGCCTCACTCGATATTGAGACGCCT